TTCTTGGAGTATGTTTTGTAAGAAAATGATATTTAAATGTTTTATGCCATTTCCTGGAGACAATTTTCACTCATAATAATAATTACAAATAATTGCCAAATTTTTGTTGATTGTATTAAGTTCCTAACTGGGCTTGTGACAGCTTGCCAAAGTGCCAGCGTGTGCCATGGCTGACCTTGAGGGAAAACCGTATCCCGCCTCCTTTTATGTAAGGTTATTATTCAATGAGGAAAGGAAGGTGTCTGTGTTTCTCACATATTCAGTGGCACTCTGCTTTTAGCATTGTGTTGGTGCCGTGCTGTGTTACGAAGTTATTGTTGTGGCAGTCATTGAACACTGCACACAGTTTGATCGCTTTTAAAAGCGAGAGATTCCCCCGCTGGCGGCGAGCCAGTAGCTGAGCTCTTTATCCTTCCGATTCCATGAGAAAGGACAATGACGAAAAATAAATAGCAGCTTTCGGGATAGTGTTACAGAATGCTGTGCGACGTGGAATTCCCAGCTTGGGGTTCCGGCTGCAGCTGTTTGACACTGATAAAGATGCCGCTACACTTTCAGTGTTACTGTACTGCACAGGACGTACAGTTGCCCTCAGCACTCCTGGGAATGGACACTTAGTCACAAAGGAGGTTCCCTCAGTTCATGTTGAATCAGGTGAATGGCACTCAGCTTTCAATTACAGGCACTATGTTGACTGCCACATAGTGTTGTTGTGTAAATATGATTTGTTTCATTTGTCAAGATGAACAGTTAGCTGATATTTTGAGATTTGTTTTATGCTCTTTCGAGTGAGTTAATAAGTTGAGTTTTTATAATTTATAATAGTTTTACATATTATTTTAATGTTTAACACAAGAATTGCCTTTTAAAGTTTACTTAAGTTGGCATCTACAAAGCAGTTATTGGTTGGTTTGATTATTATGTCTGTTAAATAGCAGTTAAACTGCAGAGTTTAGGTCCATGTTGTTATTTTTGAAATTAATTTTTATAATGTACCAAGTTAAAAGTTTCCCTGTATAATTTAACATTTGCTGGGAGATTGTTTCTTTCATACATAGGCAATGTATGAAAACACAATAAAAGAAATATGAAATATACCAAATGATTTAGAATCAAATCAGATTGAATCAGAGAACTGAATCAAATGGAGAGCTTGTGAATCAGATTAAAATGTATCAATACCCAGCCTTAATTGATGAAGTGTATATATATGTGTGTGTGTGTGTGTGTGTGTGTGTGTGTGTGTGTGTGACCCTGGACCACAACACCAGTCTTAAGTTGCTGGGGTATATTTGTAGCAATAGCCAAAAATACATTGTATGGGTCAAAATTATTTTTCTTTTATGCCAAAAATCATTAGGATATTAAGATCATGTTCCATGAAGATATTTTGTAAATTTCCTACCGTAAATATATAAAAACTTCAGTTTTGATTAGTAAAATGCATTGCTAAGAACTTCATTTGGACAACTTTAAAGGTGATTTTCTCAATATTTTGATTTTTTTGCACCCTCAGATTCCCGATTTTCGGCCAAATTTTGTCCTATCCAAACAAACCATACATCATTGGAAAGTTTATTTATTCAGCTTTCAGATGATGTATAAATCAAAATTTAAAAAGTTATTATTATTTTATTTTTATTATTTGTTAAATTAATGCTTTTATTATTAGTAACACTGTGCATTAAATTAGTTAAAAGTGACATTTACAGACATTTAGAATTTCAGAAAAGATTTCTATTTCAAATAAATGCTGTTCTTTTGAACGTTCTAGTCATTAAAGAATCCTGAAAAAAATTATCAGTTACTACATAAGTAAAGAAGGACAGCTGTTTTTAACTTTGCTAATAATAAGAAATGTTTGAGCATCAAATCATCATGTCAAGTGATAAAGCGACACTGAAGACTGGAGTAATGACTGCTGAAAATTCAGCATCACAGGAATAAATTACATTTAAAAATGTATTAAAATATAAAACTTAGTATTGGTATCACCTACTAGGTCAACCAGAAAACAGTTTTTGTGTTACATATTTAGGGAGAAACTTTATAAAAATAGCTGCATACAAAATAAATAAATAAATAAATGGCCCAATCAATCAATGTTTGTATTTTGTAGTTAGTTGTATTATGGCTTTTTGAACCTCAAAGACATTTTATCTTCTAATATTTGCCATTATGTTTGCTTGTAACATGCGTTTGTTTACTTCTGTAAGATAAAGCCCTCAGACGTTCCTGCTATAGTTGTGCTGAGTAGCTATAGGCTGAGAGTTTCGAGACTCATAAAGAACAATCTTATATCTATTGACGTCTGAAGCATTTAGTCCTTCTCACAGGAGCTGCTGAAGTGAACAAACCGTATTGTTCGGTAAAGGAGGTGACACAAAAGAGTGGTAATCTTAGTGGGGTGGAGGCTGCACAGGAATTCTCACCACGGTTATCCATGTTACTATCAATACGATGAATGGAAACCCAGGCGATTCGCTCTCTGACGCAGCTACACTGCTCCGCATGCTTGGAGGGCGGGAGACCCTTTGGGGCATGATTTGGGTCGTCAAGCAGTTTGGAGTGAGATTCAGGCTCTATTGAGCTTTGAGCTGTGGTGCTGTATTATTGTATTTACTTGCGTTGAATAAGTGACGGTGACCTTATATGGAGTCACTGTATTGCTGAATAAGGTGAGAATGATTCGAATGGTTGTTAAAGATATTTTGTTTAGGATTCATAAAAAGGTACTAGAATATTGTTGTTAAGATGCATTGGATGATATATTGTGTATTTATTGATTGAACAGGATCTACCTACTCTAGATTTTGTCAATGGGTATCTGTGTGTATATATGTCTGTCTGCATTTGTTTAAACTTGCTGATTTTTGTCTTAGTTCCTCCCTCGGTTTCTTTCTCATCTTGAAACTTCTTAGAGAATTTTTGGCTTGATCGCTGGGGATTGTAAGGCACTATTTTCGGTAAAGTTGTTTTGGAGTGTTTTTTTATTGTGAAAAGAGTACATTGTAATTAAATTGAATGTGACTTTTAGTAATTATTAGATGGTATTAAAATGTAGCAGGCTACATTTGTAGATGTCTTTTATTGTGATTTGTTGACAATGAACTTGAGGAACTCGATAGCTGGTTGAAATGCGATGCAATCTTAAACAATGGAAAGTATGTGCTTATGGTCTTTTATTGTTTTGTAAATATCAGATTTTGCCGTTTCAAGTCCAAACACTGACTTAAATTACCCTCTCTGGCAGACGGTATTACATTTTGTGTATTTTGTGTTTGGTTTGGTGAGAGCAGCTCTTGATTTTTTCGGAGTTGTTCAGATAGAGTCAACTTTTTAAAATAAATAAAAATAACACAAATTAAATAATTATTGACACATACAGTAAGATTATTAAAAAACAAATGTGGATTGAATAGCTCATTTAATGTGAAGTTTAAAGACTTTGATGAGAGACGTTTGCGTTTATATTGAAATCTTTCACATTTATTGCAGACTGTTTAATCTGAGCACAGTTTGAGACGTTGCTGAGAACTTTTGAGGAAACACGAGATTAAGAGGTGTTTTTTCTCAGTAGAAAAGAAAACTTTTGCAAAAATCTTTCTGTTCATGACATTGCTGATATTTACAAGATTTTATTTGTGAGTTTCTTCATGTTTTTATGTCTTAATGTGGGACACATTGGTGGTATTTGACCTTTTTGGTCAACTCTAAGCCAATTGTTTTGTTCAGCGGCCCCACAAATCAATATATTTATGAATGTTCCATGCCCTCAGGCAGATGATATTAATCATGCAGTTTCCTAGCATTATTCCAAAGCTGATCACTAAAAGCTTCAGACATTTTTGTACATTGTTAACCCTCCATAAGCTCTGCGTCAGCTGACGTCTGTTGGGACATGTCACGTAAAAGTCTTCGGTTATATCAACAGGATCCTGTTGCCAATATGTAACTGATTTCTTAATCCTAAAGATCTTGAGCTGGCCTCATTTTTATCAGGTAGGATTATGAGCAGACTTTACAGGCTCACAGGACTGGCTGGTTCCTGATTTACAAGAATAACCTTGTTCATGCAGTGGCAGGAAAAGAAACATAATTAAATTACACAGAACTGATTATGTTATGTAATACCTCCTCACTCTTTTTCTCTCTCTCCGTCCCTCCCGTTCTTCCTGTCCAAGAGCACACAAGCTCTTCTAAAAATAGTTTTGAAGATAACTGTCTATGAAACAATATGTGAGTGGTCCTCCTAGTTTCTTTACACTGTGTCCTTACTAGGATACAACAAGTTTTCAAAGAAAAACATTTTGTCTTTCACACTGTCAGTTTTTATTCAGTGTTATTGTTTTGTTTTGTTTTACAGTAAAGCTATGTAAACATGCTTAAAATAAATTCACTTGAGAAGCAAATTCTCAAAATATTAGGGATATTATATAATGATAATAATAATATAACACACATTAAACATAAATATAACAAAGTTATATTTAACAAGTAATATAACAAGTAAAATAAGTAGTATTCTATGAAAATAATATGCATATTATAATAATATAGATCTCAGATAAAATATATCTCGTATATGTGTATATAAATGTACAAATAGATCATTTAAACCTGGAAATAAATGTTTTTTTTGTAGCAAGAAATGCTATCATTTTTAAAAAATTAGTTAATTGAAATCAAACACAAGTTGATTTTCCCTATCTTAAGAGTATCTTAAATACTGAAATACACAGGATTGTGGATATTTTTATTTTACACAAAAAAATCTATGTGAATATGGTGTGCATTGTTTTTTGTTTTAGAGAGACATTTAAGAAAGATGCCTTACTTCTCAAAGATCTCAAAGTTCGAAACGACCCATGAAATCGGGCCCTCTAATTTTGCTTCTTCTTTGTCTTCATATATATATATATATATATATATATATGCAGGTATGAACAGATAGAGCTGTTTTATGAGTCTGACAGGTACAAACATTTTGTGTATTGCAGAAATCGAGGCAAGGGAAGCTTGTGACTGGCTACGAGCGGCAGGATTCCCCCAGTACGCCCAGCTCTTTGAAGGTAACGCTTCACCACACCAGAACATAAACTTAGAAAACCTCACAAATGTTATCACACCCAACTGTAAAAGCCATAGGTTTTTAGATTTCAAAACAATTATATGATGTCAGCCAGCTCACAAAGTCAGCCTGATTTAGGGCAAACACAAGCTTTAAATGTGGGATATTGTTTCCGATGTTATTCGAGTTAAGAGGTACCGTTTGAACATACTAGAGTATGACATCTTCAAAGAGAGACAGAGGTCATGGGAATAACCTTGCCTCAAAAACACTGCCGTTTTCACTTGCCCTTGGCAACTCTTTTGATCTTGGAGTGTTAGTCTATAGTCCTCTGGGAAATATAGGTGGTCTGGGATATATATTTTTCATTTCCTAAGTACATTTCCACATCTGAATATAATATAATATATCATAATATAATATAATATAATCTACATATCTACATTTTTGACAATAATTGAATTTGAAGCTTATTATATAAGAAAAATGGCATCCTGTCATACAATCCATTCTTTGTTCATTTTTAATATCAATGTCATTGTCGTCTCATTGCAGACATGGCATCAATGTGCAGAACAGAATCTTCCCATAATGCGTCTCTTATGTTGTTTTGGAATTTCCAGCAGTTTAAAACCAGAACACTGTGCCTCTCTCTGAATCTGTGTTTTTACTTCTGTGTCGTTCCACAAAAGCAAAAAATATGATGAAACATTTAATTGTACCAGTGGAATGTTAGCTTCAGCAGGGTCTGGATCCAGTCACCCCGGTACATAAGTTGGACACCATACTCAGTGGAAGACGTAATGGCTTCTCAAAGCCAAGCTCAGTTTTTGGGGGGGCAAACCCTGTCTCACTTTATTAGCATCTGGAAGTCTAAAACAAGTTAGCTACTCTCTTCGCCTTGGCTATCGCTCTGGAAAGAATGTGTTGTCAGGGTTTTTTTAAGAGTGTGGGCGCCTGGATTCCTCAGTGTTCACTGTGAACATGCAAGATTGGCCTATTAACGAATCAGAGGGAAATCATTATAGTCCCTAAAAGACATGTTTTTTACAGTGTTTGTCTATAATGAACTTGATTGTTGATATGGGATATGCCTGTGTTTCCTTACAGATTCTCAATTTCCAATTGACATCTTTCCTGTGAAGAAAGATCATGACTTCTTGGACAAAGACCTTGTGGAACCTCTATGTCGGTAAGGACTGTGGCGTGTTTGGTGTTTTCTATGCTTTCTAAACAAATCAGTCCATAATCGTAGCCAAATCTTTGGAGAACCTAACGAACACCTGAAAACCAGTGTCTAATCAATAAGAAAACTAACTCATTTAGAACATTCTGTACTGGGGAAATAAAATTAGTGTAATTTACAAACTTTATTGAGTCAGTTGTTGCTTTAATCATGACATTATTTACTTCTACCTTAGATGAAGACTGACAACGAGAGAAACTACACCAGACTTGAGCTTAATAGATGCAATACACAATGACAGCAATAAAAAAAGAAGAAATAAATAGACTTTTAGGACTTGTTCTCATTACTAAGGACAATTTTATGATTATTAACATAATCATTGATTACAGGATTTAATTTAGATCTACAGCCACTATTTAAAACATTTATTTTGCAGTGGTTGAGGATTGTAACTCTTCACAGACATTGCAATGATGAATCAATAGCTTTTACATGGTCATCAATAATGAAAATAGGTCCCAAAAGTAATTTTTTCTTTCTTTTTATTGCTGTCATTGTCCATTGCATCTACTAAGCACTAATCTGGTGTAGTTTCTCTCATGTCAATCTTCTTGTAATTCAGAAATAAATAATGTCAATATTAAAGCAACAACTATCTCAATAAAGTTTGTAAATTGCACTCATTATGCTTTCCCAGAAATAAAGTACAGAATGTTCTCAATGAGTTAGCTTTTCCTCGTTTAGACACTGAATTTGAATTCCCAAATTAAGATGAAAAGAGCCCTCCAGTGACTTTGGTTGCCTTGGAGACTGCCCTGGTAGGAGAGCATTGGAGGCAAAGGGGGGCATACTCAAGACGATCTACTGTGACTCTAAACAACCCTTAAGCAACTCATCGAAATTCCAAACCTGTTTACTGTTGTGTGGGAAACAATGTCCGACATTCCCACCTCTCCTCCTGACTTCTCACTTTTCTTACAGCTCCTGGAGGGGAACAACTCATTAAACAATTCTAGCAAGACATGCCCAGTAAGAGCACTGATGTGTTTGTTAGTTGTGGATGTTTGCAAGCACCAGTGACAATGCTCACGTCTTACAAATTACAGACAAATTACAAATCAATCAGTATTTAATAAATGAATAGTCAGAAAATCATCAAAGTACTATTATAACTTTTATAATATTTTGCCAAATGTAGAGTTCTCGTGATACCAAAAATTCAGTGGTTAATACCAATACCAGTGAAATTCCAAATACAAATTTTACCACAATAAAAACTAACATGCTAATAATGACACTTCTTAAAAAAGTTAAATATTAAAATAAATATTAATGTAATCAATGAAAACAACGTAAAAAACTATAATGATGTCTTAACTTACTGTAACCAGTATTGTCAGGATTTTCTTTAGCGGATTGTTTAAACTTTATGTTCTCCATTGACTGTGGCCTGTTCTCTACATTATGTCTTGACTTTGTTCTGTTTTATATCTGAAGTCTTTGCTGTTATGGCACACACACACAGAATTTAATGTTATGGCGGTTTTGCTGCTAGAATCAGGATGGTTATCGTGCCTATAAAGAAGCTATATAGTGACTAGCGCCAAATGCCACGTGGACTATCTCTATAAAAACCACCACAACCCTTTATTATCACAATAAACTTGATATATGAGAATGCCACTAGCATTGTCTTTGTGTGAATTGATATAATAGTTTTCTTTCTTAAAGCATACTATCTCTTTTTGTATCACCTAAAGATATTGAATAGAAACTGTGTTATATCACACTGGTTATGTAATCGTTTAACAGAGGAAGGAATGTGCCCTTTGAAAACATGAAAAACCCATTTGAGTGAATCTACACTGCTACCTCTGGGGGTTCTGGATTGTGGGGAAGGAAAAAGGAAAAAAAGAGACAGTGAAAGATAGAGAGTTTTCTCAAAGAATTGGGATGGTATTCATCAAACCTTGTGTTGAATCGCTAATGTAGTAAAAGATATGGCAATAAAAATAAAGGCATATTTGCTCATTTCCTTGTTAACCTGCAGAGTGAAGATTCAGATGAAGATGACCTCTTTGCCATCAGTGACAAATGGACCTTTGAATGGAGCAGTCGCCGCTGGTCCAGGCTCCAAGACATCGATTGCCTGCTGAGGGGCGTGGAGAACAAGAACCCAGGGGAAAACTCTGCCCTGCGGAAAACGACCAGCAGCGAGAGTGTTCTGACAGACTTGAGCGAGCCGGAGATCTCTTCCCTCCATAGCGAGAGCAGCGGCGGCAGTGGTGGCGTTCGTGTGCATAGTGCGGAAGACTCGGACAGCTCACACCGCACCTGCTCGAACTCTGCAGCCATGCCTGACCCCACATCACTAGGTGTGACCCATCTCTCTTCAGAACTTTCAAGCTACGGTTCGCTGCCTGTAAAGCATAGCAAGCGAGGACGGACACGAGCTAAGGAGTTCTTACGGCGCATGGAAGCTTTGCAGTTACGTGGAGCAATGGGTGGCGGAGGGAACAGGAGTCTTGTTATAAGTGCCCCGGTTCTCCAACAAGAACCCCAGACTGTAAAAACTCTCCGCTGTGTGGAGATCATCAATGGAGACATGCGTCTTGCAGAGCCACCTTCCGGCATAGGGTTGCCCTCCCAGTCTAGCAGCGAAGGGAGCAGCAGCCAGTCCAGTGGGAGTGCCATCAGTACGCCAAACATGAAGGAACGCAACGTCCACCGGGCTGATCACAAGCGCAGTGGGATGTACCTGGAGGACTTGGATGTGTTCTCCAGTCTCATCCAGGGTAAGCGTGTGGCTGAGCAGAACCGACGCAATGAGTTCCACTCCTACGAGGACCTGGTGGTCCATATTCCTAAAGATCACAAGCCTGGAACCTTTCCCAAAGCTCTGTCCATCGAGAGTCTTTCACCCTCAATGGCAGCCTCCATCAACTGGCACTTGGCAAGCATGGACTCGGATGTTCAGCATCCACCTAGCTTCAAAGAACCTCGACCTGTCACACAGTGCTGCAACCGAGGAAGTCGGATCAGCATTTACGACAATGTACCCAGCTCGCACCTTTATGCCAGCACCGGCGACCTCATAGACTTGGAAAAGGAAGACCTTTTTCCACATTTAGAGGATATTCTGCAGCATGTTAATGGGCTGCAACAGATCGTGGACCACTGGTCCAAGAATGTATTGCCTAATAGTGAAAACGCGGGGAAGGAACGAGTTGATCTTGTTGGCGAAAGGCAAGGCGACCTGCAATCATCCAGCCAGATCACATTGGATTTTGAGGAACATTCAGTGCAGGAGGGTCAGGCAACCCCTAATGATGTAGACAGGGATGGGGTGTCACTTAATGAAACAGAATCCGTAGGAATGAGGGAAAGGAGAGACTCAGGGGTCGGGGCTTCACTTACCAGACCAAGACGGTAAGATTCTGTGCTAACAATGCTATGCTATATGTGTTGCATTGAGAACTTTAAGTTTGGATAGAATCGGTTGACTGTTAAAAATAACATGAATGCATGTACACCAAAAACCTTTATGTAGTAGTTTTAAATGCTATTTTAGGTGGCTGTCATCTCAAAGTCAGCCATTCATTTGCCCCAGATTTGAATCCCTAACATGGTTCCCTGCTCTTTGTTTAGCTTGCGATGGCCTAGCTTCCAGATTTCCAACCGCCTCAGCCATTCGGTCGCCTCTCTCCAGATCACCAGCCAATCTGCGGCCCAGCTCAGCTTGCTACAGAAATTTTCCTTGCTCCGTCTCACTGCTATTATGGAGAAGTACTCCATGTCCAACAAACATGGCTGGACCTGGTAAGAATCTGTTGGAAAAAATTATCAGATCCTATGAGATTTTTGTTACTGTTTTACTGCAGCTTATAGCTTCCTTCTCTAGTGGTCATTGTGATTAGCACAAGATGGACAAGTAGCAGTAAATCCTAATTAACCGCCCTCTACTGGTGACTATCATTAATACACCCTGCTATTGCTAAAACTGTGATGAAATCTTCAGTTCATTCAGAGGATTGTTGTTTATTGTTTGTTTTACTTTTATTATTTGTAGGCCTGTTGATGCCTTTACTCCCAAAACATAAAATATAAAAGATGCCCCAGGGAAATAGAAGCTTATATATATTGTATAAAAGCCCCACATATATATATATATATATATATATATATATATATTTTGTTTATTTAA